TACGAAATCAATTAGACTGGACCACTACTTTTGTGTGAAAGAATACCGGCATTATTTACAGGCGATATCCGAAATACACAAAATGCGGACTTCTGGCTTTTTATGCTGATTCCGTTGACGAATATAGCCAAATATCCTAGACAAGCAAATCATATAGATGAGTCTAAATTTTGAGATACAGAGGGGCCTCTTGCTTTTGGAGATGATCGCAAAATATTTAGCGGTTCAAATGAACCAAAAACAGAAAAAAAATTCTGATCACACAATTGGTGTCAATTAACACGCCTGAGAAGATTATATTTAGCTGTAAAATGGACAACAACAACTAACAGCACAACGGAGTGCATAAATATTGGTCAAATGTACCTGGCCGTGATATAATTTCAAAAGCGAAATCTTCCAAAATGGATTTGGACATAAGAGGGCTTCTAACATATTGTAGTGTTGTAGGGTATCACATGGTCGGCCCTGCACGACCATGGCCTATATAAGGTCGGCCAGGGAGCAAATTGGTAAAAAATACAGCTCTGTTAATTTTAATGTCAATTTTTTGTTTTTTTCTAGGCGAAAAAACTTGTTTCGCCCTCACATCTAATAATCAAGGCAAATTTCTTAATTGCCAAAAAATGAAAACAACCAAAAGGAAAATGTCATGTATCAGAACGTCGACTTTTGTGTGGGAGGTATGATTATTATGCATTTTATGATAGATAAATTATTCAAAATGTTGACCCTTTGGGGGATGGTACCTGAGAGAGTAGACTGATATCGTCCTAGCACTGATATGGAGTGTTTGAACAAAATTGGATGATCTGTTTTTGTTGTATTAGGTACCAGTAGGATTGGACCAATACTACTCATCTACGAACTCGATCTGAGTTTTCTAAGCCAAATCGGGGGTCCCTTCGGCAAGACACCTCTAGATCGATTCCAAATGTCCTGAAACTGCTTTGGTCCAAAGAGACCTAGGGTGTCGAACCGTTGTTTCGATGCGACACGTTTTTGCCGTATCAAATTTTATACCTATCAATTATACATACAGGTTGAGATAAAAAACTACAACAAAGTCAAACGTCATACTTTACAACAACATTTACAACATTTTATTGAATGAAAGCAAAAGATTTCGGAAATAGCATCAAATTTTATAATATGTTTAGATTTGCTTGAATTTGTCAACATTGGAACGAATTATGGCCTTCAAACGGCTAATAAAACAGCCTGAATGTTTCTCTGCGGTATCTTGGCTCATTCCCGGCGAAGCTCTTGTTTGAGGTGATCAACACTTTGGTTTTTTTAATGCCAACCTTGCTTTCCAAAATACTCCAGACACAATATTTTGTTGGCCATTGTTCGCTGGAAATGAAGCAAGGAACCTCATTTTGTAAACATTCTTGGTAGGCGCGTGCTGAGTCCTGTTGGAATGTCCAAGGTCTGCGGCTAAATGTTTGCGCGCCCAAGGCTTTCATATACCCTCCAGAATATTATCGCGATAATATTCTGTTCCAGATTTCACCACATCAGCAACGTCGAAGTGTTCGGAGCATGCAGAAGACGTTGCTTTAAATTCTAACTGGCAAACTTTACTCCATTCTGCCTTCGACATTTCATCCTTTTGAACCGAAAAAAGTGTACCACTTCCTGGAACCTCCTTCTTTCTGCATATTCGGCAAATTCTCATTTTCAAATTTCACAATTTTCTCTGTTTATTTATAACTAGCTGGCCCGGTCCGCGTTGCCGGCCCGTAGTTTTTGTCTATTATGCATATATTCCCAATTATAATTATTCACAGATATGACTGATATAAGTGTTCACGTACATGTCGATTTAAAGTGTTTTAAAATACCTGTACCCATTTTTAACCAGTGGGCTTCAACTGTGTGGATGTGCTATACAAATCTATTAAAAAGTATATATCAATCTTATCGCCATATAAGGGATCAAATTAATTTTTAATATGGTAAAAATCGTAGCAAAATCTTCCAGTCAAATGAGCAGTAATTTGGAATTTGCTGTATTTTGTATACTACATAATTGAGGGCTGAATGATTTAAGAATAGCCAAAGTTAATTACTTTTTTAAACCCATTAGCAACTTAGATTGTGAATTAGAGTCCTCATAAGTCCTCCTAACCATGTCAGTCTGTTTGTCCGCCAAAAGGTGGACTTGAGAGGGTATTATAACATGGATAAAAATTCTAAAATTTGTAGATATGTTGAAATTTTAGTGTAAGATTTTCACCCCCCTAATACGCATTATTAGCCAAATTCTTTGAAATGTGGTTAAATTAGGAGATACCTTCTTTATATGGGCACTACTCCGAAACATCGACCTACATTGAAAACTTTCTTCTACCCCTTATAATCCAAGATGACAAATAGAGGCCAAATCAAAAATATAGCAGAACAATATAGCATGTCATAGCATTTCGCGTGATTTAAATAAGTAAAAATAGTTTTATCCACCTCATAATTGCGGGCAGAATGATAAGATGGGAATTAATTTTATTTGCCATTTAAATTGTAAGTTGGAGACCCCTTAAAAGTACGTTTATATATGAGGGTTAACCCACTGGATTTGGATTTAAATTTTCATATCCATTACTTTTACTTCAAATAAATCCTCTCAAAGTAGGTTAACCCTACAAAAAGTTCTAACGTAAACATGGCATAAAGTCCATATTTTCATCATAGGATAATTCAATGATGATTAAACAAATATTCGGTCCCGTGCTACTTTCTTATATTTGTAATTTATTCATGTTTCCACAATTTATTTCATATGGATGCACATCCCAAATCTACGTTCCCAACCAATATTCTCTTGGGGGTTAAAAATTCAATAGAATACAAAATTTTCTTTTCTGACCACACATTAGATGTGAAAGTGGACTTGGGGATACTCCAATGTGGGGACTTTACTTAAATAAATTCCTATGTGGCAATTATCTGTATGATGGTTCCCTACCCCAGGGTGGCATAAATAAAATTTTTTAGCCAAATCAATTGATGAATGTGGTCAATACCAATATGGGCCCTACTCTGAAAATTTCAAATTTTATGCGAAGAGGTTATCTACCCCCTTAGAAACAAAAATGTCAAATAAGGGCCAAAAAATGAAAAAAGTGGCCGGCCAAGACCCCAAAAATAACTTAAATCATAGATGGTTATATAAATATGAAATCGGGTTGTTCCCTTATCCGTGAGTTATGATCGATATAAAGACCTGCAAAAGTGATTTTAGGTATTTTGAATGTTTGGGAAGAATTTCTGGAAGGATATAAAACCTTTTCTTACTAAAAGTCCCATTCGCTCTACTATTTTGCACCTTTTATTTCAATATTGGTATATTACTTATTATTCTCCCAAAGAATTTTGCATTTTGAGCTCTCATTGGACGGATCATTGTCACGCTTTGAAATGAGCCCCATTAAGCTTTTTCGGTCATTTTTGTTTGTTTAAATGTGTTCGCATCTTCCAGCTAACCCACGATGTAGGCCCTGGAGTTGAAAGGTAGATGTCAGTTAACATCCTATTTCGCACTTATTTAATTTTTTAGTGAAAAATTATTCTTTATTTTGTTCACAAAAAATCCACTGAATTCAATATGATAATACAAATTGAAAAAAAAAATTTACAAAAAAAAGAATAACAAATTGAAAAAGTCTTCAACTTTTTCGCTAATTTTTTACAGCAAATGTTTTAAGATCCTTCCTTACAAAGTTTGTCAATAGAATGTACTATTACTTTAAAATTCGATTCCATTGAAAATGTTTTTTTGATTTTTGCAATGAGATCTCTTTTTCATTATTTTTCAGCGATTTAGAAAAAGTAATTATCTTTTAACTTTGGTGTGACCGCGTTAAATTATTTCGATATCATCTATTCCGTTTCGCCACCACATAATTCGCTACTACACTTCCATGTAACCCGCCATCAATTTCAGTTCTCAAGAAATCAAGTCAATTAAATAAATTGGTATAAATATTCGAATTCAAAAATAAAATATAAAAAAACACTACAAATGTACATTAGAAAAAAGTAAGTCAAAATGGAAAAAAATCATGCAAAATAAAACATTACTATTGTACATTTGAAAAGTCAAAATGAAAATGTTAATATATCACATTTTTACGCGATTTTTTTTGGATATTATCCTTTTCGGAGAGTAGACAACTCCGAATTTGTGTGAATCGTTAAAATTAATCCAGCGGTTCTTAAGTTATAAGCGTAGTAACTAACACAACTTACATTTATATATATAGATTTATATATATTTGCCTTAAAACTCCTTTAATAATTTGAATTATTTGGAAATTTGTTGACAAGAACGTAACAAATTTGTTTTTGTTTTCATAGGGCGAATTCAGAATATATTTTGACAGAAAACTTGGTCGTCAGATGGTCTTACTGGCCGACCTTATATAGGCCATGTGCACGACTATAGCATTTGCTTACTTTTTTTTGGTTAATTTATAGTTTGACATTTGATTCTCATCGTAAATATATAGCGTATTCATCCACAACTGTCCACAAAAATTAAACCCTAGTTGTACAGTCGCTGAAAAGTCTACAAAACTCAGCGGCAAAACATAGCGGCTTTAATATGAACTACACCCTACCGAATATCCAAGACACTTACCAGATATTTTAGCTCATTCTTATATAAAAGCGTTTTTTTTTTGGTCTTTGCGTCTTTCTCAAGTGAAAATCCATGCTACAATACCTAAAAGATACGTTTAGTAATGACAAGAACTCCTCCAACTACCAGTAAAGACACACACCAATGACTTTATCTTCCCAGTGACTATTGTGAATGGCCGCACACCAAAAAACACATGTTTTCTTTTGTATCTCACAGATGTATCTGAAATTCGAGCTAAATGACAAGCCCATAATTCTAAGAAATCACAATGAGAGAGAGAGAGAGGGAGAGAGAAATAAACAAATGGATTTGTATGTGATGTCTTCTTGCAGGTCAGTTGCAGAGTAGCGGTGTCTGAAAAAACAACTAAGCGGCACAGTGTAAAAAGCAATATACGAAAAAATAATAAGACAATAAATTAAAATTATGAAAAGATAACAAAGTGTGATTCATGTATTAAGAGAAATATGGAAAGGTGTTTTAAAATGTAAAATTATCAGAACATATTTTGGATTTTCAATGCTTTTACTTGTCCCATGCCAAGTGGGTCTATCGGTGCATTTATTCATGCATATTGGAGTGCGTGCGTAAGTGTGTATGTGTAATGGTCAACCAAGTGCATCAAAGTATCTGAGAAATATCAAAACACAAAACAGCTGTCAGTGTCAAGTGTCTCTGTACATATACCAATCACAATAGCAAAGGGAAATGCAAAAATGTCATTTTGACATTTCTCTTTAGCAACACCCAACACCAACGAGTAGTTGTCTCTTTCTAGCTCAGAGCAATCAAATGACCACCTTTGCACAAACAATTTTCCCTCTCTCTGTGTGGGAATTCTTATCTGAGAAGTGCGTTCAAATGAGGCGGCTTTGTATCTGTGAGATAAACTCAACTGGATGGTAGACCTTTTGCTGCTGCCTACTACAGTTTGTCTGTATTGTAAAATGAACAAAGCACGAAAGTAGACGCATCAGCAAAACAACGACGGTACGCGTTCTTGATGAAGAAAATGAAGAGAAAATTTTGGAAATTATTGTGTGAAAAAAATACCTAAATGAAAAATCTATTGGAAAATACTAAAGAAAATTCGAATGAAAAATAGAATAAATGTGAAGTGAAAATCCCAAAAGATAGTAGGAAATGTTGTAATTTATTTTTATGAAGCCTCCTTGCGAAAGAAAATTTCCTATCATAATTCTGTGAGAGTGTGTGTGTGCGTGGTTTTTTTAACATATACCCTCCTAACCGTGTTTGCAACTTCTTCCATTGCCTATCAACGTTGGGTTTTGTACTCGTTTCGTTTGGCTGGCTGCCTGGCTAGCTGATTCTTATGGAGGTCTTGTTAAGAGGCCCTTTACTTTGTCGCCGACCAGAGTTTGAGTGCGTGCCTACATATCTGTGAGTGCTAGTAGCATCTGTATGTGAGAGTGTGTGTATGTTTCTAAATTGTTGGTGTTGTTTTCATTTCTTGTTTCTTTGCATTCAATGCCAAATATCCTTGCGAAAATAAGATAGCCTTATCCGAAGAGAGCACAGTGCAAATGAAATGGCAACATTGTATGTGAAAGATGATTTCAGAAAGTGCACAAACACATACACTTACAAAACACACCAACAACATCGCTCTCACACGCAACAGCAAATAATGTAATTCTATAAAATTTAAAGTGAAAATAAATAATAAAAATTGTTATTCTATGTGGCAAAAGAAAATAAAAGTGACGGAGAGAAGAAAGAAGAATCACAGAGAAAATAAAAAATGCAATTCTAATTCAAATAAAAAATTCACAAAAAGGGGTGTTTTTTCTGTCATCTGTTCTTTTTAGTTGGCATTTGAAATCATTGATGCTTTAAAGTGTCTGCAGAAAACAGCGAGAATCCGTGCAATGCAGAAGTGAAATACGATAAAAATTAATGAAGAGAAAAAACAACCAACACACCAAATGAAAATATTAAAACAACAATCAGCCCTAACAAATTACCACCACCATTAACAAGGCACTTACAGCAACAACAACAACAACAGCAACTGAATGTTAAGAGAATTAACAACAACAATAGCAACAGCAGTAAATGGTGTAACGTCATACCACTGCCAGACTTTACACCACAACTAATTAATTGCCAACATTAATAAATTACCATTCAACATCTGATTGAATTTCATTTGTGTGGCCCTAAAATTTATATGAAACAGAAATAAGTCGCCATCTTTCCGCAGAGATAAACAAAACAACAGTCACCCTACCACCCACCACCGCCGTCACCATCGACCTCAACACACCACTCAATAGCTGTGGGCGGCAGAGGAGCAGTAGCCACCATCATTGATCGCTTTCCGAACAACCCGAAATACTCTTTTGGTGTGGCAAGTTCACATAATCCCAGCCAGGTATGTTTATATAGCTTCTCTGTGTGTTTGTTTGTGTGTCTTTACCTCCTTCTTTTCTAGCTTGTTTTTTATTTCTGCTTTCATTCCACATTTCGTTTTTAAACTTAATTAACTTACAAACAACATCAATATAAATTTCTTTCAATATCAAAGCTCTTCAATGACCATTTTCGTTTTGTTTGGGATTTTCCAGTTTTAGTTTTTCCCCCCAAAAAAGAAAAACCGCACCTTGATTTCTCTGACTTTTCGTTTTACGCCATGTCCTGTGTAAATATGAATGATGTTTGCTTTTAGGTTCGTACGTTCGTTCACTGGCTTGTTTGGTTCACAACTTTTTAGTTTTTTGGCAATTCTTCTTTTTCCCAATTAACGACCAGTCAAACAAACGGCCAGTTAGTCAAACGACCATACATCCTTTCAGATTTTGTAATTTATTGAAATGTGAAATATAAATTGCAGGAGACGACTTCCAGGCACACCAACTAGATTTAAGGAATACACAAAGGGAAATCATTCTTCTTTTAATTAGTTCTTTTTTGTGGGAAACAGTTCTTCCTGGGGAAAACAAACTAATGTAGTAAGATTAAATAAAAATACTGATAAAGTTGATTGTTCATTTCCTTTGTACACATCACTTCGGAAACCCCTTGAAATGTCTTGAAATGTATTAAAAACAATAGTTCAATTACCTACATTCGAAATTTTGCTTAGTTCTCAGAATAATAAACAACCTTGAAAAGGAGGGTATATTAAATATGTCATTCCGTTTGTAACATCCCTAAATATTGGGCGTAGACCCCATAAAATTAATATACACTAGAGCGCAACTAAAAACGACGCAAGTCGGGGCTCTAGTGTATTCACAATCAGCACAAAATTCTAAGTCGATTTAGCGATGTCCGTCCGTCTATAATAATAATTTGATCAAATATGTATTATGTCTGCAGGACTTTTGGCATTGAAAAATGTGACATGTAGGTCAACGTTTTGGTATAGCCCCCATGTAACGGCACCACCCTATATTCGGTATTTTGGTGATTTAAGCGACATTATTCACCGGAAATGTTGTAAATTTGGTGTTGGAAGTTCGTATTGGATAATACAGCCAAACACAGAAAATTGCCTGCGCAGGTCCATGTCTTCGTATAGCTCCCATATAACGTTACCTCCCGATATTCGGTATTTTGATGATTTTAGCGACATTATTTACCGGAATTGTTTCAAATTCGGTATTTGAAGTTCGTAATAGATAGTACAGCCTAAGAAAGAAAATTGTCTGCGCAGGTCCACGTTTTCGTATAGTCCTCATATAACGGTACCTCCCGATATTCGGTATTTTGATAATTTTAGCGACATTATTCACCGGTATTGTTTCAATTTTTGGTATTTGGAGTTCGTAATGGATACTACAGCCGAAAAGAGAAAATTGTCTGTGCAGGTCCACGTCTTCGTAGAGCCCCCATATAACGGTACCTGTAGACATTCTATATTTTGATAAAAATTTGTATTTTTAATTCATAATGGGTTCTAGGCCGGTGACAGAACAATGAATATTTAGTTCCAGGTTTTCCTATAGCGCATATATAGCGATACCTACCGATATTCGGAATTTGGTAATCTTAGTCACATTTACCCACGAAATTGTTACAAATTTAGTATTTAAGAAGATTTAGTAGATGACAATCCTTGAAATATAAAATTGTCTATGGAGGTTCCCGTTTTGGTATGGCCTCACTCGCTTACAGGTATTTGTATTCAATAAAGATACTTATGTATGTAAAAAAATGTATTCTTTACCCAATGGTTGAGGGTATTAAATGACCGGCCGAATTTAATGTGTTTTACTTGTTTCAATTAGACTTAAAATATTAAATAGTACAGTAGTTTTTTTTTTCACATTTTAACTCTATGTGTTGAGGTTTTTTTCACGGATTTGTCTAACAACTGGTATTTGTAAGTCATAATAGGTTTTAGCTCGTGTCGCGAAAAATTGTATGTATCCACGTTTTGTTATAGCCCCCTATAACGGTACCTCCCAACATTTAGTATTTTGATGAGTTTTGCCACATTTTTTCTCGGATTTGTTCTAACTCGTATGGTGAAACATTGAAGGTATAGGTCCACGTTTTGGCATACAACGGTACCTCCCGATATTCGGCATTTTGATGATTTTTGCCACATTTTTTCGAGGATTAGACTAAAAATTGAAATTTGAATTTGTCATTGTATGTATAGGACCACGTTTTGATATAGCCCCCAAAATAACGGTACCTTTCGATATTTGGATAACAATTGGTATTTGCAGTTCATAATGGGTTCTAGCCCGGGGCAGAACAGCCGGAGGCAGAACGATACCCTAAGGTGGAGGGTATTGAAAATCCAACCCGGCCGAACTTAATTTTTTTACATGTTTTAAAATTAAGGCTAGCTTACAAAGAATAACATTTGAAATTCCTCCCAAACTACTGTGTATAGAAAGAACTGTTAAAAATTTTTTTCCATTTCCATTTCCATACATATCAGTGCCAATCAGATGCTGACAATGTCCCACAAATTTGACTGACATTTAGTGTTTAGAATACAACTACTCTCTCGAATATTGAATGTCAATGATGCTATTTTCCAAGTTTTTCTTTTGCAGATTACTTACTGTGGATTATTTATATATTGCATTATTCTTCACATAATAGCAACATTGAGTACATATTTCCCAAAATTAGTCATTACCAATGATGCTCTATTACACAACCAAACTTTTTCGAGACAGAACACATAGACCAAGGCAGTCAATTTATTACTTTTGCTAGTGCTTCAATTATTTTCCCTCAAGTTAATTTTCTAATTTATTTTCAATAATGTATCCATTTGGTTTCCCTTAAAATTTGTAATTTATCTTCCAATTATACGCTCGCAATAAATTGACATTAAATGACACCCACATCAGATAAACAAAAACAAACAACAACAAAAAAAGAAGCAAAAACTTCAGTCTGAACATTCTACGGGGACTGCAAGTGCAATAAAATTAGCTTCAAGACTTTAATGTTAACTTGTTTCACTGTTGACTTCATAAAATCTCAGATTTAATATTGCATGGAAACACACACGCAACTACAACAAATATCATCTACAACAAAATAAACATTTATTTTGCATTCAACATCTACAAACATATACACATACATGTATATGTATATGTATACATGAATAAAAAATCCCTTCAATATTAGTTTATACAAATATATCCGACTTTACAACTTTGGCTGGGTGTTATTAAATGATATGTAAATACATATGTACATAATGTACATACATATATGTATGTCATGTGTGTTTTTATCGCATAGTTGTAAGAAAGTACTTACGTTTATAAGTGTGTAGTTTATTCAAATATTATATTTGGTTGTCGTTGTTGTTGCTTTTTTCTGTGTTTTTTTTTTTTACTTTTATTCAAATGGTAGTTGCCTTTTTTGACGTTACTTCCCTTCCTCTACTCCATCTCTCTGAAGTAAATACCAAAACCCAGACACAATCATCAGCCAACAGAACCGGCATTTCGATGCTATGTTTACAACTCAGCAGTTTTATTTTTGTTGATGGTATATGGGAAACTTCAATTTATATGGAAATGATGAGAGGTACAACAACAGGAGCAGCAGCAAAAACAACATGTCCTCAAACTTTTGCGCCGAGGATCCTAAACGTACACATATGAATAGAGAATTTGTGGAAAACGTAGAGGTGTATAGCGAAAAAAAAAATCAATAAAAACCTCCCTACCAAAGAAAAAAAAAAACAAGGCAGACAGACAGTGCAGACAGTCAATTTTTTTGGTAATTTATTTCTTATTATATATCTACCGTTATTCTTTATTCCGATGGCGCAATTTGAAGTTACTTTTGGATTTGTTTAAAGCTGATTGGGTGCAAATGAAGAAGTTACTGTTAGTAAAACATTGAACCGATTAAAGCATTAAAAGATAATGTAAACAAACTAACTTCTTTATTACCAGTGGATTGAAAATAATGGGCTTTAAAAAAAACAAGTAAACGGCTGGGTCAAACTTTAAATAACTTTCAATTAATTGGAACGAATTTGGCAATTTTATTAAATTAAATAAAAAAAATTAAATCCGTTAAAAATTCTTTAAAAATTTTAAAAATATCGAATGTAGCCGTTATGTTAGGGTCTATTCCTCGACGTGGACCTGCATAGGCAAATTTTATCATAAGTTATTATAATATTCAAATGCGAGACTTGAAAAAAATCGGTGAATAAAATCATCAAAATATCAGGAGGTTCCGCTATATGCGGGCCACAGGAAGACCTACGTGGACCTGCAGAGACAATTTTCTGCCATAGGCTGTAGTATCCTTTACGCACTTCAAATACCAAATTTGAAACAATTCCGTTAAATAATGTCGCTAAAATCATCAAAATACCGAATATCGGGAGGTATTATTATATGGGGGCTATACCAACACGTGGTCCTACATGGAAACTCGTGGACTCTTAGGGTTAGAGTAACTAGCTTCACTTAAGGGCCCTCACAGTGCAAATATCTTTAAACTTCAACATGGGGATGTCATAAGAGGCAACCTACTCACACCCGCCCGACAGCTGTTAAAATTATTCCAGTGACAGCTCATTGTGTTGCTTACAGCATTTTGGTGAGAATTTTCCAAAAAAAAAGTTATTCATGATAGAATTCAAGCGTGATTGATTTCAAGCGTTATTCGTAATGGATTTCAGGCGTGATTTCCTCATATTTGGCTGAAAAACCACAAGTGGCTATCGTTAGAGCACTCCAGCATTTAAATGTGAATAAATCTTTCGTGTCTCGTACCATCGCTTGTTACCGTGATACTGGTAGTGTAGCCCGACGTGAAGGAAGTGGACAGAATAAAACAGCAACATCAGCAGAAATGGTTAGAAAATTAAAAAAGCGATTGATCGAAACCCGCGTCGCAGTGGCCGAAAAATGGCTCGTGAGCTGAACA